AGCCGTTATGAAAACCGCAATATTAAAACCCTGTTTCATAATCTTTTTTCTCTCGCTTTCATAAGTCTTCCTAAAATCATTTCCATTCATAAACTGTTTGTATTAGTGTGTGCATATTTCTCTAAAATGATTCTCAATTTTCTTCCATTAATATTTTGCTAGTTAATGTAATCTGAAAATAAAGCTTTTTAATTGCCTAAAATGACTGTTTGATCCAAATTTAAATATAAAAAAGTAAGGTTTYCCTTTGTGATACTAAGAGCCAGGAAACATGGAAAGTTCCGTGAAGACTGACCGGTAGAAGGRGATCTACTGTTAATACCATGTTCCATTTAACAGGAGCTGGTTTTTGTACGCCAACGTCCTCTTAAAAGCCTTACATTGTTGACCAAACCAACGCTTCCTTCTTATCAGGCCCTCTACAGCTTTCTTTAGTGCAACTTTGGTCACCAGCACGTAACTGCAATAAACTTAGCTAATCCATGCATCGAACTCAATATCAAACACGAACACTGTTCATGCTTCAAGCATTTTCCTGCCAATTTCTCCACATCAGTCAATAATTAATTGGGTATCAAGAGAAATAAATACAGTTTAATGTGGTGTAATTATTTCTCAATAAACCTTTCTTCTGTCTATACGACAAATGTAGCTTTTATGTGCTGTGTTTATGTACTTGAAAATAGTCTTTCTTGTGTATAAAGCTTTTACGCTCTTGTTCTTTGTATTCTACTAGGCGGATTGGTTTATTGTCCTAACAAGAAAAGCGTTATCATCCGTTTGTTTTTTGGAATGTCTCTTGTTTTATAATTGTCTTTTTTCGACTTAAAAGTGCACAATTTCCCTTGGTCCAACACCTAGGTTTTTTTTATCAATCAAAAATTCTTAATTAGGAAAAAATTCACTAGCCACATTTAATGAATAATCTTAATAACAACAGGGCGATCCTTCATTTTTCTCAACTATTGGAAACCTGCTGGTTTGTGCTTATTAGTTTTGTAATCATTTATTAGGGAATTTTGAATTTCTCGTCTTGTTATTTCAAGTTTTTTAACCACTTTGATGTTACCGACGTCCAAATTAGTGGGAAATTGTCATTGCTTTGCAAATGTTTGCTCTTCTTTACAAAAGGTGACAAATACTAGACGGGAAATTGCTCACAAACTCTTGACTAAAAGTGTGATCTTAACGGTAGTTACAAGGAACCTTTTAGGTTATGAAAATATTCAAATCTCCGCACAGAAAACGTGATTAACATGATATCTGGCCAGTTGTAGTTAACGGTAGTTTTTAATTTAACCCTTTAATTGCGTAAAAGAAACGTTATTCTTGTACTTGTAACTAGTCGAAAAGTGCTCTTCTGTTGAGCGAATCACTTAACATCAAGATACTACTTATAAGGATGAGAAATAACTAGAGTCGAGATCTGACCCGCGGGGCATCGAACGCCCAATTAACGCCGTTAATTTGTGATCGAAGCTTGATGAAATGTTCTAGTGGTCTTAAAGGGATTCCAATATAGATCCTGATATTAAAGAGTAAACATTGAAATCGACACTTTTTGTTGCGGTTGGCCCCTGTAAATTCTATCAAGTATGCTCAATAAACCAACTAGACTATTATAGCAAAATGATTTCTATTTCCCCTTGACGGAAGGATAATTCATCGAGTTCTGCTCGTGCTTCAGGGACTCATAAAGTTCAATTTTATGGCTCATGATGCTCGTCTGTCGTGAGAAGACAGGTGAAGACTATATGCAGATATCAGATCGGATTTGTCATCCAATAATGTTACTGAGTTATTGCGACTCCACTATATTTACATATAATGCGAACTTAAAAAAGTATTTTTTGTGGCTTTTGGCAGTTGTATATATCTTCTCCATATTTCTCACATATAAGTCTCTATAAATTAATCTGATTATTATTAGAAGAATAACTGTACACTGTCATTTTATTGTATAGTACAAGAAATTCACATTCATTTTCAATGTGGATATTGTTTTATCTATGCGTGAATTCAGGAGACTAAAATGGCAATGCGGTTTCCATCTATTTTATCACTAACGATAATCAGTAGGTTTTCTCTAATGTACCAGTGCTAAGACCAGTGTTTCTCATCGTTATACATCACRGTTCTATTCTATACACAAGACAGGTGAACTCAGATTAGATACTATCGAGAAATGTCCTATCTTCGTCTCCAAATGTTCGTATAACTCACTAAACGACSATTTCCAATTCCCCGGCTTTTTGCGTTAAATTTTCGTACGGTTTTTTTAAAATCCGATTGAATATACATTTGTGGGAATTTTGTGGTATTTTTGCATGTTTACTTACTTGTTAGTCGATAGCCACTTGAATTGAGACTTGAATCAGTTTTGTTTGTTCTAGTTAACTTAGAACCACAATAGAAACTATGTTTCCGCCTTTCAAAGCTTTTCCCAGCGAGCGAACCTTAACCTGATTTTTATTCTCCTTTTTTTCATTTCCTTCGCAAATGTTTAGTGCAATTCGAACCAAATGCATCTCTGGTAGTTCGTATTTTAGCGCATTTTTCTTTGCCATAAAAAGAATCTATTCTTAATCATAGAGATATTGCAGGTAATATTTTATTTGATTCTTTTGTGTTTCTGTCATTATAGTGGGCCGACACTGTTGTTTCCTTTAGCCGCAGTTCACACTTTGTTCAATCTTAATATTTTTACAATTTTTACGATCGTCTTTTTGTGTCTGAGGGTTTTGTTTTGACATTAGTTGCTTTCAAAAGTTGTATTTGAAGTCCAATACTATTCTCTCGGCGGGATAGTTCGTCATTTCAAGTGCCTATTATTACCCCCTGCCTTCGCTGAAAATCGTAATGTCATGGCGCGCGAATCTTTCATTATTTCACTTTTTATTTAACTTGGACAAATATTCACCAGTATTTTCAAGGATATTTTGAATTAGTCTATGGAGTTGAGGATAATAAATCATAGCTGTATGAATAATAGTAAAGCATTATTGTACTGGTTGATGTAATGGTAAATATTGCACTTGAATAATGCAGACTTGACTGGTGTATTGTCTTAACCCGTTTATTTTTTAAAGTTCAACTTGCTCTTGTGTTACGTTGATTRTTCTTCATTACAAAACAGCAGTTCACGTATCGCTCGTTCATAAACTCTCTCTCTAGAGACATCTGTGTTTGAAAACCCAGATCATAAAAGCTGCCTTCAAGGCGAAACCCTAACGATTAAGGATACTTGTAATGTCAGATAGAACAGCTGATCGATGATCGTTGATTCTAGAATGATTTTCGAGCACAAAGTGGTCTTACGCTTAATTTCTGAGCAAATACAATTCATTTTTATGATGCAGTTTGACACCGGTGTTTACCTATTCTATCCTTATTATTTTTTGATGTTATTTTTCTTATTATCTTCCTCGATTTATTCATTAAGAGTACTTTTCTCATTATAGCATTCCTGCTAAATTTTTTGAAAAGCACAGTTTTCACGTTTCTATTTCTCTTTTTCAGGAACGGGTGCATTTTTATTATAGCAGGAAACAAACACATCAATCGGTGTGCAGTCCCATTTTGTTTTGTGCATTTCCTCTTCATTCTAATTGACTAGCTCCTTCTTCGTAAATAACATCATTAATGCACTCTATTGTCTTACGATTGAAAGAATAAACATCGGTAAAAATCTAACAGAATCCAAAATACATATTTGAAAAAAACCACTATTTTACACCATCAAAGAAAAAAAAAATAAACATTTTACCAGTTTTAATAACGACGGGCGGAAAGTCTATAATTTTCTTGTCCATATTTCAGTAATGATGGTATCTTTTAGGTGTGATAACGGAAATCCTACCACCAATATTGCTCTCAAATACGGCTGAAGAAGACACGACGGGAGAAAGTTTTAAAAAACTCGGTCAGACATATATGAAGCAAAAGTGCTTGTAATGATGTTAACAATAGCTCTCACGACAGTCACAATAACGATTACGGTAGCTGGATTCTAAAATGTTTATCTTTAGGTGTAAATCGATCTAACCCAAGAATTTAATGGCATTGCAAAGGGTTACTATCTGCGACTTGCATCTAATTGCTTTACTCTCCTAGTTAATGTACTGCAAATCAAATGAGAGAAAATCTGATTGGACCCGACAAAACTCTTCTCAATGTAATTCCCAAAGTTTTTTTTTACTTGTGGCTTATAGTTGTATACACAATGAAGACATGTACAAACTATGTTCAAGTCTCAAGCTTCTATTTTACTATTAGATTTTCAATAAAGTTCAATTGACCCCGGCAATTCGGTGAATTGTGCGATTATTTTTACCACTTTTCCTCTGATGTGGTTTCATTATGTAAATCACTCCACCGAAGTCCATTAAATAGAGAAAAGGCTGAAAGGCTTGTAAATCTCTTTAAAGAAAGATGACAATGACTCAGAAGAATGTGAGGTAAGCCTTAATGAAACACGTGTAGGCTGAACAATGCGCGCGACCGCAGATGGGCACAGACTCATTGAGCGGAACACATTATTAGAATGGAAATGTTCAAATCAGCGCACCTGCGAGATTCTATGCAGGTGTCGCAATTCTCCCTACACAATACCGTCATTTGAATATGCTACGAATTAAAAAACAAATACAACTCGGAAAAACTTCCAACTTACTCATTCACAAAATTCACACGTCCTGGTTTAAAATTTTCTGTTTGCGCAAAGCCCGCACTTTTTTGTACACGGTGTTGACAAGCGATGAGTGAGCTCAGAGTTTTCGCTCTCTAGGACACGTGCAAAAGCGGAATAGTCACAAGAAAGACCGACTAGCAATACTTGATTGCTATTGGTTGATCTGAACAGTATGCATAATTCATAGCCAAATAATTAACACCTATTGTTTACTCCTTGTATTCTTATTGAAATGAAATATTAGCATTGTCCTATTATATCATTATATCCATCAGCCATAATCACGCCTTAAGGTGTGTATTCATAGCGCCGGGTCATAACACAACGAGGTTGCTCCTTTGGTAACAGTTCACTTGAGCCGTGCTAGTGTGCGGAGCTCTTCAACAAAACCATATATTACGTATAATAGCTAGAAACAACTATGGGCAAGCAAGAAGAAGGTCATGTCAAGAGACCTATGAACGCATTTATGGTATGGAGTCGCGGTAAGAGAAAGCAGTATGCTGTCCGTGATCCCAGAATGCATAACTCTGAAATTAGCAAAAGATTAGGAGTCGAGTGGAAAAGTCTTACTCAAGAGGAAAAAGAACCGTTTGTTGCAGAAGCAAAACGTTTACAAGCAGTACATATTCAAGAACATCCTGATTACAAATACAAACCAAAGCGGCGAAAGCCTAAATCACTGCAGAAGAAGGACGGACTCTCTGCTCCTGTGTACGGTTCTCCGTACCCGACTTCTATGATGGCGGTTGATAAATTCTCGACAAATCAATTGCCACAAACAATAGCTCATTCAATGGCTTTGTCCTCCGACCCAATGTATTCGAAAATGAATGGAGGACCACCATTTCATCATTCACCCGGTTATCCAGTTATATATCCAAATGTAACAACTGGTGGGTCTTCGCGCCAAATATTTGCTGGCGCTATCGACTCCACGCACTCGTTCCGTGCAAGTGATATGATGTCCGGGAGACCTCTATATGGTAGTCAGATTTATCAAAGTCCAATCCACTCTCAAGTACAGCATCGAATCACAGCAGTAGAGGAAAGCCGAAGCTTAAAATCATCTCCAAACGGTAATCCAAGTCCACCGGTAACAAGTCCTGATCCAGTCTCGAARCACAATGGAGGTTATTCGACTTCGGAGCTGAGCAACCAGCGTGTTTGGCAACCGCAGCAAGATCTTTCCAGGGCCGTCACTTATGTTCCGGTATTGCTTTAACTTGTTACTTACTATTTGTGGTTATTTAGTGAAGTTTAGCGCGAGAACATGCTTGATTAATTTGTGTTTTTGAGAATGTGTTGAGTGAATTGTCACCCCACATACCGCTGTCAACGTGTTTTCTGCGGGAGTTTTTGAACATTTTCTTTATCGACTCTGAAACTGGGACAATTGTTTTCTTGTTACTCTAATTTGAAAACAAAGTGAAGCACATTGTGTTTAAGTATATTTTAATTCCGTATGTCAAATAGCGTCATATGAGTTGAGAAGAAGGCAGGCTAAAGTCTTTTCAGAAAACAAATTTCCGTTCATTACATCAAGGACGAGTTTGTGATAAATGCACTTTAATGAGGCACAATTTCTGGTTTCTAATGACTCTTCTCGGACAAACCGCACAATAATGTCCTTAACACATCGAAACCATTAGTACTGTTTTTAAGATCCCCCGATCACGGCCTAATTTGTGCTAGCCACAGGCGAAAAACGAAAGCTGAAACGGTTTCAACAAGATATAACTCGAAAGCGCAATGCTTTAGGCTTCTTTAATATATGCGCATTTTCGTTGTGAACACACGCACTGACAAACAAACTGTCATCAATTTCTGGCACCGAGTTTGTTGAAATGAAAGTTGTTGAAGTTTGAACGCGTTTTCCCGCGACATGCACAAGTGTTTGTTATGAACTAGGTTGTCTTGTATTCAACAATACGCTAATCTTTGGCCTCGAACTAACATTCACAGAACAGTTATTGTTATGCAAAGATTGTAATTCAGTTAATGCGATAAAACAAGTAGTTACGTCAAGACATAGAACAAAACAATTTCTAAATATCAGCCAAGAACTCCCTTAACTATTGATACCGATATTTGCTTTGTCTTTTACATTCCTTCAATCAACACACAACATTAGCCGTTTTGCGGCGGAAATAGGAAAACCTCGGTGGAAACCGTATTTATTTTGGCCCATTCCTGCATAATTATGCTGTACAAGATGATCAAAAGAGYGTTTATATTCGCTAGTTGTGATTAACTTTAATTTAAAGTTAGAGATTTTCACCCTTTACCGCATTTATCAGTTGATATAAGAGTTTTGTTAACATTGGTTAAAGTGTAAAACTAAATCTAACTCTCGTGCTGCTCTCGACAGCCACATGCCAAACGCATGGTCGAACCACCAACAGCTCGCGTGCTCTATGCTTAATAGGAAAAAAAATCATCTACAAATCTACTCAATTGCGGCAATATTGACAACTTTAACTTCTCATCTATCCAATAAACATTTACCTATACTTTGTTAACTTAAAACAGAACACGTGGTTCGTTCGAGAAGACTTGATCGGTGGAAATGAAAATTAATCGATTTGTGACAATTCTTCGTTATGAATTGATGAGATTGGACTTTTTATTGACACAAGGATTTCTTCTAGCGATGCGTTTAAAGTGTACATAGTTATCAGTAGCGTAATCTTGTGCCATTAGAATACAAGTGTGTTATACAATGCCAAACAGCTATTATTCCCCTTCGCGACCAACAAAACCTCGTCCCACCTGCGATTTGCTGTTTGGTTGTGTTTACAGATCGCATCGATCGGCCTGTCAACACTCTTTTCTCTCATTGTTTCTTATTTTTTTTATTCACGCTCTTTTCTTTTTCGARCAACTGGCTGATATTTGATGTRGTTTTAGTCGTCAACAATCAAATTAAAAGTGCTCTTTATCGGTTTTGTGAACCTCTAACTGTGCTCGTGTCATCCTACCTAAAGAAACTTCGTTWCTTTAACAATTCGAAGCTATAGAAGGTTTAATCAAATCAGTACATGTATTGAAACATAGTTCGAAACTCCTATCAGGAGATCAAAGAGTTTTTAGGTTAACTTTCCGGTTCCAATTTCTCCCTTAATTAAACTGATCTGAACTGGCAAACTATAACATGTATATACCAAAGTAATAATACTTTATGTAGTAAAAGTCAAAACAGGATATACACTAAGGCATAAAAAGTCATTAATATAGCTATAAAGATCCTTGATTCAAGTTATATTTATTAACGTATGTAACGATAGATTATAACAAATTGTTCTGTTGTATTTTCTAGATTCATGAAGTAAAGGTTGACAGAAGATACTAGTTCTACAATCCTTCTTCATTGCTGTAAAGACTCTTTCTCTTCAACAATAGAATACCGACAACTTTCACTCCTGAAAGGCCGCAGAATATGGATATTCTTGCTCCATATATGAAGCCATAACTCCCACAAAAAAAATTCCTTTTTGTACATTGTAGAAATCATTGTTCTTTATGCTCATAGAAAAATCTATCTATATATATTATATATAAATATATATCCAAGAATTTCCACTTTTGTTTAAAAGTATTGTTAAAGAGAGAAGCTCTTTTTCATATTTTGAAATATCGAGTGTCGGAATTATAGAACTTAAATTAAGTTCGTTTTGCAAAGTATAGAAGTTACTTCTATTACGCTGACACTTTTCTCGGGTAGATAACAAGATCTTAAACTTCACTAGCTCATCTCAATATACAGATAAGAATATTGTATTATATTTATATGGCATCAAAATAAGGCCCCTTTTTAAAAGTTTCCTCAATAATTTGTTTGTATAAGCCTAGAATGGATTTTCGRTATGTTTCAGCATAATTAGAAAAGCTCTAAGAACACCTAAGGCAATCAACTCAGTTGTYCAATAACAATAGCATAGAATACTATCAAATTGCGGTTGCAGGTTTTGTGGCTAAAACTGAGTGGAATTGTAATGTCTATCAATGAAACATTGAAACAGATCGTAGTTTTTGCCATATTGTAAGATTGCGTTCATTACTAGAGGCACTTGATAATTATTTGATATTATAGTGCCTTCTTTACTAATACCTGTGGACCGCTAGACATTAAGGCGTCGTATGGGACCCTTCATTTAATAAACACTAGCTTATACACTCTTCTTGTACAGTATTGTCCAAACACAATAAACATATACAAAAACAGTACACTTCGGTTTGTCTCAGTTGTGTTGCGCGCATTTCAATAGAGCATTCCAGAGCAAGTGATCGGCGGCGCTGATGCTTCGATTTTCCTCTTTGCTATTGTAATAACTTCTTGTGGTTGGGAAGAATATTGGATCAGTTTTTCTCGAACAAAGAATCTTTGATCAGAGTTTCTTCTAGAGTAAAGGATCTTTGATAACTTTTTTATGATACATAAACATTGGATGACTCTTCTTCACGAAGGTCTTTGATCACTGCGGTGAATTGTTTTTGATTAAGTTTTCCTCAAATGAGAATCAGTGATCTTTGATTGTTACATAAAGCGCCGTTCTTTTTATACAATGTTTCATTTCTTATTTGATTAAAGCGCTCGTGACCATTTCAAATTGTTGCACATTAAACAATATATTGTTTGTTATGTCCAACAAGAATACATACTTTACTGTTCGAACAAAAGGTGTACTTAAATACATCGAAGRGAGTTTTTGGTCTGTTTATCAGACTGATGAAGCGTTAATAAAACCATTGTTTATAAGCGCGAGGTTATTGATTACTTGTGACACGAGTCCCACAAGGTTAGAGCCATGTAGTATACCAAGGCGCGATATAAATCAAGTATTCAACATTATTATATCACATCGCTGTTTCGTTGTTTACAAGTAACATTCTTCTTGTCTTAAGCCTAATCACTGATCAAAACAAAAAAACRGAAAATCATTCCAGCCGAGTTGTTGTTATCCTATTCTATTTCTGCTCGTGTCTTTGTTTAGTGACAGTTGGAGGAACTGGGGGAAGAAGAAAGGCTCACATGGTCACAGTATGTATTTCTAACTTAACATGCATTTGTATTGTGATACAGACTACCTTGGGCATGTGATTTTAAAAGATGCAGGGTCAACAGCACAACAACTATCCCTAAACTTACACCCCCTAATAACCTTCCTTAAATCTATAGTCATTGGGATTTTATCGAGGATAAGAACTTTGCTTTTTAATTTAGAAAGAGACTTAATCATTTCTTTTAGTTTAATTTTTTCTTTTTCTTTTTTTTTTTCATAGTGCGCAAATACTGCGCGCCTCCGAAACAGTGAACTTTTTTTTGGCCCCAAAATGGCTGCACAACAGAACCATGTATTGGCCCGGTTCTATAGGTTTCAGTGTAATTAGGCTTTGTWGATGTAGAAACAAAACAATAGCTCCTTGAAGGACACCATGTTGTTATGTTCCAATGGATATTCACATGTCATTATGATTTCTATTATAACGGTGTCTCGGAGGCTAGTCTAACTGGCTTTGTCTGTGCACTAGGGGCTCGCGTCACACTAAAGTCATTAGAAAGAAACAAATTCAAATCGATCAACTGCAAACGAGATCACTTAAATAACAAATCGAAAGCCTTTTCAAGCGTGTTTAAAGCTTTTAATAGATCGAACTAGCAGCTTCAGAGCTAAGCTTTTCACCAAATTGGATTTCTTATCGACTCAAGAAAACCATATGCTCATGTTAGTAGTTGAGGCCCTGCTGGGGTCTAAAAAAGGATTTTGAAAAAAACAATAACACAACATCGTGATGGCTTGAGGGCCTGACCACCGGATTGAATAGGCTCTCAACACTTGTSCCTTACAATATGATGAAAATTAGTTACTTGACAAATGGCTTCCCATTTCTACAATGGTGAAGTACTTCTAACGAGTGGTGTGCCAGTTCAGTAATATTGTATCAGAAAGTACGCTTTTTAAAATCTAAGCACATCTTATAGTTGCTCCGCTAATTGTTGAAGGTTTTCATTAAACTTCTATTTCAAAAATCACGAAAACTCTATCAAACATATTTATTTTTTTTACTGTAAATCAAGGTTGCAAAGTATTAACAATATTGTGTCTCTGTTGAGKGGGACGTTCCTAACAGTCACTCTTGCTCCACCCTACACATACACCAGATGTTTTACAACCGAGTATTCTTTCCATTCTAGAGCTAYCGAGCTTATATTCTCGTCATAACATATTCTACTGTATCGAGAGGTGCTTTGTCTGTCTCAAGAGTTAAGGAAACGTGAGGAGAAAAGGCCTTTTATTTGTATTGACACCAATTCTGTAAAAATGAATGCCACTAAAAATGATTGTATTTCTGACAAGTAGGTTTCTTTGTGTGCTGGAGTTTATGCAATATAAATAGGGTTAAACGAAGAAATTACCGTTTAGTTTCGTTACAACTTGGTTAACCACTCCATGTCGTAACAGTAGCTGGTCATTCCACGAATAGCAGCTTAGAGGCCGTGCTTGTTTACACAATACGTTCYCTTTCTATTATTTCTTAAGTTTATTATTGTTGTTTTTATCGTTTATTTTTGTATCATTAGTTCGTTGAGTGATTCCTTTGTTTCCTGTTCGTTTACACGTTAATTGATATTCGTCCTCGATCCATTCGTCCCATTTTATCATCCATCTCTCATACATAAGTGCGTCAAGATATGAAGCGCACTAATATATTAAACCATCCATCAATAAATAGCTTATAAAACCTCTGCACAGTTTTGAAGTTATTTTATGTTGATAAAAACATTTAAAAGACAAAAAAGTAACATCTTCCGAATGGATGGGAAAATCACCGCGCATTGACAGCGATGCAAATCCAGCCTCGGCAAAGTTGCTTTATATTTCRTTTTTGTCATTGCATGAGGTATTCTTGTTCGTGTTGTGCTGATTCTGAGTRAAGTGAAAACGAGAGAAACAAACGCATTTCCTTTGCATGCTTGTACGGAAATAGCCCTTGATAATAATTCTATACTGCAACCAATTAACAATGGCAACAAATCTMACTATATCAATGGCAATTATATAACAAAATAACTTTTAACTGATTTTTTATTTTTCATAGTCCGTTAGTAAAACTGTTTTTGTTTTTTCTTCCTGAGTCCAAATCTATTGTTACACTTGGCTATGATGGTGACGAAAAGAACAGGAGACAGTGTGTTAATGTTTTCTCAAACAATCATGTATGATATGCGAAACATGCAGTAAAGACCTTTGCACTGAATAACACGGAGAAGTATTTGAGACTGCTTACGAATTTTAAAACGAGTTAAAAGCTCCTCTGTTTTTATCTAAGCAAGTATTGTTACTATTGCTAWATCCGGTTCAGCCTAATATTTTTGGGGGATGATCACTCCCCTTCCAATGGAGTGCCTCGAAACTCAATTRCAAGAAAACAGTCTCATTTTATATATGATTTCATGTCATTTCAAAGTGAGTAGATGGTTGTAGATGTGGTTATCGCCACGTGGAATCCCTTCCTGTAAAGTTAGAGTGACTTTCGTTACCGATGCGTTACGCAGGAWGCGTGATGAAAACACGTGTTTGTCTAGACCACGCAATGTTCATTTATGAACTTAATCCTCCCTAACAAACAAAAAGCCTCGCTGTAAGTGAAGTATATCTAATAAAACGTTTAATGTTTATGGACATTAAGATTTCATTGTACAATCAACCGGAAACCAATAACGTGATTTCTTGAAAGTATTCATGGTGGGCACATTGTAACATGATTTGGATGGGATAAACGGTTTACTGGTAGATCTAGCAGTACAAATTTGTCAGGGGCTGACCTGCAGCATGCAGACTTCTCAATTCTCCCTCCACATTGTAACATGATTTGGATGGGATAAACGGTTTACTGGTAGATTTATCAGTACAAATTTGTCAGGGTCTGACCTGCAACATGCAGACTTCCCAATTCTCCMTGAGGTCGAGTGTGAGAMTCAAGGAAGTGATTTTGTAAAAGAGGAGATGGGTGGAGTTGTGTTCACTCTCGGGAACCCCCCTGGATATATGTCTACCGAGTAGAATATCTAAACAGTATGCGATAAAAGGGTAAGAATCCCTGTAAGGGATATCAGATCCATCTCGGTTTATTCAAAGAAAGCTATTAACGCTAAAATAAAGAAGCCCGAAAGACGATCGATGATATATCGTGTGAAAAATTACACTAAAATCTTAAATATTTCCCTATGGAGTAYCTGTTATTGTATGCAATATTAGCGCTCGCCCCAATATTTTATCACTTATCAGTAGCMCAKTGAGTGTATCCTTCTAAGCTTTTGTTTAAAAATCGCTATGATAGAGTAATACAAGATAACTGAAGCATGTTTGTCTAAAGCGAGAAGGTATTTTTGTAGGGGTTTCTTTCAATAATACAAGTAAAGAATGTCATCTTTATGATGCCTTAATCATTGCCGATGTCATCAGTATCATAATATCAACACCTCAGCTATTATTATTAGTACAGACTAGTATTAGTTATGTTTCATGCATATATTGTTTGTTATCGCAACATAAATATCCCGTGGTCCTGTTTATTTCTCATTTGTGTACTTACAATTGATTTAGATTCTAATATTCGTAAATTGTTTATAGCTTTAATCGGTTGATGTCTTCACTCCGGAAATCAACTCTGTTAAAAAAATATACAACGTCATGAAAGATCCCTCAACAGTTCAAACACCATTACAATAGACACCCATACATAAAACTCAATAAAGCGGACACCTCTACAATCCGGTCACTTTTACAACATAATACTCCATGTTCGTTAAAAATGACCTTAAGTTTCAGACCCCTCGATATCACGGGCAAACAGTTTGCTGTCCTTATTCTAGAGGTTACTAACCTTAGTTCTAATACTTGTCTGACTTCAGCTGGTGTTAATCTCCATGTCAGCGGTCCTGAGTTAGGTCCCCAGTATTCCATGATTTCACTTACCTACAAGA